GAGGAGGAGGAAGAGGAGGAGGAAAGAAGAAAATGTCAAAGCTGAGCAGAGTATGATGGTACCTGCTTGTAATCCTAGCACTCTGGGAGGCTAAGGCAGGATTGCAACTAGAGCCCTGCCTGGGCAGCTTAGTGACCTAATGAGACCCTGTCTCAAAATAAAAAAAATTTAAAAATGCATCAGGATGTAACTCAGTGTGAAGGTCATGGATTTGATTCCCGGTATCCCCCGCAACAAAAATAAATAATAAATCCCAAAGCTTTTGTCCTTCACCCTCCACCCTTCAGCCCAGCTTGCCTTGACCTCCCTCCCTATACAGTTTGGGCTTAATGATCTGCACTAAAATCACCACGTTACAAATGCCCCTAACCTTCCTTGCCCTTCTCTGTTTTCACCATATGCACGGACAATCTCCATGCTTTTACTCAGTCACCTGTATTGATGGTGGAAAGAGAAGAGAATACTCATGGGAAAAATTTAAAAGACATAACTCAGAGAACTTGGCACTGATTGAAATATAGAGGAGATATAAGCACATGACTAGGAAAAGGGTGACTGTGTTGAAGCAAATATAAATCTTAGAAAGATAAGAACACTTGTAAGTGGAAGACGGTAAATTGGATATTAAATATATTTTGCTGTAACTTGACAAATTTACTCGGAGATATCCAGTCCACAGGCACAACTATGAAATCATATAGAGATGAGCAAGACAAGTAGATCTGAAGAAGTACTGACGAAGAAATGACAGCCAAAACCCTGAGTATGTAGGACTGGCAAAGGAGACAGTGGAGTGGAAGAGCGGGTGAAAGAAGGGAAGATGAAGAACAAGAGAGAGATGAGAGAAGAAGAGTGAAGCCAGCAGTCAGGTCTTTCTCCCACGTCCAATAAATTAACGGTATCACACCCTTGTGCTTATGATGAAAGAGATCTTGTACTTTAGGTCAGCAAAAGTGTTTGTTGAGCTCAAGGATAAGTCCCCAGATCCTAGAAGGGTATCCGGTACATAGAACCTGTAGCAGGTTTAAACAAAGCAATTGGAGAATCACAGAGATGTTGAAAATGAAGCGCAGGATAGTCGCTGCTTGGCTATAAAGAAAAAACCATTTGGGGTGCAGTGGGGACTTGCACTACAGGAGGGTAAAACTAGAGCTTTTCGATAGGCAATGACCAACACTGAAGTTGGGGAGCAGTGACTCGGCCACAGGCAGATTTGGAGATTCTGTTCCTTAGCCTGCAGCTGGGATCCGGTGGGGCAGAGACAGAAGCAACTAAGGTACATTCAAGGGGTGTTGTAACACTGAGTCATCAGGTGATGAAAACCTAAACTGGAAGGCCCAGAAAAGATAGAGTAGGTCTTTGGCAGTTTAGCAAAAGGCAAACCGGAAGAAAACACCACAAGTGTCTCTGAGGATTCTTGGGCAGAGGTCCAGCACACTGGGAGTGCAATTTTTTTTTTTTTTGGGGGGGGGGCAGGACTGGGGATTGAACTCAGGCCCTTGCACTTGCCAAGCAAGCATTTATTCTACTGAGTGCTATTAATACAAAAAGTGAAGACATCACCCCTCTAGGGCTGAACTCAACTGTGGGAAAAATGAGATAGTTCAATGGTCTCTTCACACTGTTCTGCTTCCACAGGGAGCTACTCTCCTCCTTACTACTGCATCCTGTAGGCCCCGTCCTCCAACATGGAGGCTGAGGGCTCCCAGAGCTGACCAGGGCACACTATCAGTCAGGCATGTGACTCAGAGAGGGACTGCAAGTCTTCCTCTGAGAGGTGAGAGTGGAACCCCAAGAACACAACCAGAGAAGAGCCTCAGCAGTAGGCCTTCCCTAGTGCACTTCCCCAACCTCTTCCAAGTATCCAGCACCATCACTTCCCATCCCCTGCCCTCAGCTAAGATCCTGATCCTAAAAGAGTCCTCTGTCTTGGCTTAAAACAATGGTCTTCTCCCTGACCACAGCCAGGACCCACCCCACGGTCTCTGCAGTGAAAGGAAGCATGCATGATTTCTCTGGTCCTATAAATGACAATTCCAAAATTTCCCGGGGTTCTCTGAGCCCTGGTTCCCTGTGGTTCTTCCCAGGGAAATTTCCTTATAAGCAAAGAGAACAGGCTTCTGCTATATGAAGTGGCTTCAGCAGCTCAGGGAAGGGCCATTGCTACCCACCCCCAAGTGCCTCTTAGAGCTCCTCACCACCCCTTGTCTAAGGCAAAACTGCTCCTCTTGTCTGAGGTTTGGTCTCATGTGAGACAAATTCAAAGGGAAACATTCTGGCCATACGCTGTCACTTAAATCAGATCATGAAACTTTCTTCAGAGCAGGTGCTGATGGAGGCAGTGGCAGAGGGACAGAGGCTGAGTGCCCAGTAAAACTGAGTAAGAGTTAAAAAAACAACAAAATTCTGCCGACTTTGATTTACTAGCACCGGTGGGATTGTCAGATCTGAACTGCTGCCTGCACCCTCCTAACTGTCCCTCTTCTGCCACCTTCTCCCTACCCAGGATCAGCCTCAATCCAGGTGCTCCTGCTCCTGCCTCCCTCTTCGGGTCCATGACTCACCCAGGATCAGCACAGCTATCCACAGCAGCATGTGGCCCAAGGTCTGCAAGGGCTTGCGGTCAGCGTGGGGACTCTTGGTGCCCAGGACAGGCAGGAACACAGGGATTCCCATCATCTCTGCAGCAAGCTGACTCCAACACGCAGCTTCTCTTCACCAAGAAAACAGCCAAATTCTGGAGTCCGAAAGAGGAAGTGAAAAGAAACGGTCTATTTAATCATAGGCTCCTCCCCTTCCACCCTCTTTCATCTGTTCCCTTCTAAGAGATTCAGAGCTTCCCAGAATCTCCTGCTCAGCCCAAGCCACAGAAACTGGGAAGAATGTGAGAAGCAACTCCCCGCTTCTTCCTTTTGGGGCCACAGCTGGCCTGAACCCTTGGGAGAAAGTGGGAGAAAGGAAAATGACCACCTAAACTCAATTCAGAGCTTCGTACCTGTCTCCATCTTCCCTAGGAAGGTAGTGGAGGTGGGTTGTACAGGGCGTCTTCTGGTACATCTTCCATTTGGAGACTCAGACACCAGCATCTGGACCCCTCCTGAAATTGAACATAGAGGCTTTAGATACCCACCATCTTTTGATTTTTTTTCTCTCTCTCCATCATAATTCCCTGACTCACTTTTGGGCTGTGGAACAAGAGCAAGGAGGCATGTCTTCACAGCTGTGGAGCAACTGCACCCATCCTCATTTCCTTCCTTTATTCATTCTTCATTTACTCATTCATTAACACAACGAATGTCTCCATCAATATTGCGGGAGCACCAGTTTGTACACTGGATCATCACACTGGCCATTCCTCCCATCTCTGGTCTTGCCACTATGGTATGATGAAAGAGCATGAGTTGTGGAACCGGAAATGCAAATTTGAATGCTGAGAGCTACTCAGATGTTTAGGTTCCGGACCTGTAGCTATGTAGTCCATCATGCTTGTTAATGCAAGCAGAGTTTCTTCACCTCAGCATTATTGACATTCTGACCTCAGTACTTATTCTGAGGGCTTGCTCTGGGCATTGTAGAACACTTAGTCAACTCCCTGGCCTCTAGCTGTTAAACTCTTATATATCCTGAAGTTGTAAAAACAAAAATGTCTCCAGACAGTGGCATGTGCTCCCTGGGGGGCAAGAATGACCCCGTTAAGATCCACTGTGGCCAGGGAGATGGCTCCATGGAATAAGTGTTTCCCTGGCAAGTGCAAGGGCCTGAGTTCAATTTCTCGGTTCTGCAAAAAAAAAAGAAAGAGATCCACTGCATTTGAGTGTTTGGAAAATAAAAGGTAATGTGCGTTCTAGCAAAGGGCTGTGTATACCATTTCTTCTTGTTGTCATTTCTGCTTATCTTTTGTCATCATTTGTTCACCATCAACATCCCCAGAATAGGAGATAGTGTGAGGTCTGTCTTGGGGCACTCTTCTGAGGCATTTTTCCTACACAACCTTTCAGGAAGCAAGCTGTAATACTCAAGGAGTATTACATACTTCCTCTCATACTCTGTGGTCTTCAAAAAACTTTTAACAGCCCCACCCTCTGTACCACAAGTTTTGACTGCCAATGTTGTCCAACTCCTCCCAGTCCTCATTGTTCTTATCTTATTCTTAAATGAGAAAACAGTTTTACTAGTTGAAAAGCCAGTAGGATGGCATCAATACTTTTATAAATGGTATTTTATAAATATCATTATAATACGATGATAAACAAAAGCATATAATAAACATTATCATGTCATTACAAACAAAAGCATAAAACAATGTACAGGTAACATACTAAGAAACCAGAATTAATAGCCAGAAGTGGTGGTACATGTCTGTAATCCCAGACTGAGGCAAGAGTTTTGAGAATTCTGGCATGCCTGGGCTAGACAGCAGGCTCCAGATCATCCTGAAATACTATCAAGATCATGTCTAAAAAGAAAAAGAAAAAGGCCAAAATTAATAATTGCAATGTAAATGTAAAAATGTTTATTCTGAAGGAGGCACTGGACATATTATCTCTGAGTTTCACAATAATCTCAGAAGATAAATACTGTTATCCTCATCTGCACGTGAAGAAATTCAGCTGGCCAGATATTACAAAACACTGAGTGAATGGGATGAAAAATATAGAAGAGTTGCTGAAAGAGGTTCAAAAAGTATTTGTCGAGATGAGGTCAGACCAAAACAAAAGGCCAGAACTATGGTCTCTGCAGTGGAGAAGGTTGTCAAGAAGCTAGATCAAAGAGCCTCAAAGGAAGAAAAGGGACCCGAGAAGCCACACCGGGAAGTGGTAAAAGAGCTCAGAGAAAGAATCCCAAACATGGCAACAGATGCTTCAAACAGGAAAAGCCAGTACTCTTTAAGAGGGACCGCCTAGGATGAAAGGAGGAAAGGGAATGATTCCCCCAGGGCATTTAATGAGAAGTAAGGTGGGCAGGGATTTAATAGGCCCCACGAGGAGTCCTTGATAAACCTGGCAGTAGGGTCTAAAGAGGAAGGAGTTATTTTTCTGGCTGACTCAGGCGCTGGCCGCTCTTTTGTAACATTTCAACCTAAGAGCACAAAACTTTCTAATGAACAATTACTAGTATCTGGGATAAAAGGGGAGGGATTTTAAGTTCCAATATTTGAAAGAATGATGAGTAAAGTAGGGCCAAAGCAGACTAAAGCATCACTACTATACATCCCTGAGGCAAGCACCTCCTGGACAGAGATTTGTTTGTTAGGTTGGGCTTGGGTTTAGTACACAGATCGTAATATCAACTGCCTAACTGATGCCATGCACAAGAAATGATGGCAATTCCCTGAGGCAAAACTGGTCCCAGCAGCCACTAGAAAGTCCCATGGTTTCAGCTAGCCACAAGCAGTTAATCTGTCTTCCCAGGATAGTCATACTACCAGGATGTATGACTCACGGGAGCAAGGTCCAGAATCCCTCCACAGTCACCAAAACCACTGCCAGCCACTTAGGCTCATTCTCAAGTTTGTCTGTTCGTCACTAACCAAATCAAAGGAGGTCATATTCATAGAGAAATAATATAACTCCCTTGGGGGTGAGGATATAGCTCAGCAGCATAGCACCTGCCTGGCAAGCACAAAGTCCTGAGGTGGATTCTTCATACCAAATAATAAAACTCCCAACCTGCTAGATGTCAGATTTACTGATTTCACATTCTCCAATCTGAAAATGAATTATAAGAAACAACAAGTTGAAAAACTTTGAAAGAGATAGCTCCTGAGAGATGCGGGGGGAACCTGAGTCTGTTACCAGCAGCCCAGTTCTCAGAGGAAGTATTATAGAGCAAAATCGTGAGGTAGGTACAACATGGGACAAAACTATGGCCAACCAAAGACTATTAGTATAGCTTCTTAGGTAATATTGATCCAATGGGTAAGGAGGTCATGTAGCAAATGTACATGGAAAGAACAAAGATCTTATAAGAAGGAATGGATCTTGAGGTCCTGCTCACCCACCTGGGTGACTGATATCTAGCTAGACTTTATTAAACCAGGTGATACAAACTGTGGCATATTGCTTATCCCATGGGGAAGCAGGTAGGCCTGGTCATTTTATCTTTACCTTGCGGCCTGGTCTTCAATAGATGTGCCTCCAGTCATGGTTATAATGTATTCTCTGCACTGACTGTATTGAGGATCTAGCACTTTGTGTTGGTCTATAATATTTCTACCTAAATTAGATGTCTATAATAATATATTTGAGAAAAAAATTAAAAAGAGTTATTTAAAGCTAGCTCCAAGGAGATGGAAGGGTCTATTTGTCTCAAATCACCATCTTATTTATTATTTATTTATTTATTTATTTATTTATTTATTTATTTATTTTGCAGAGCCGGGGATTGAACTCAGGCCCTAGCGCTTGCCAAGGAAGCGCTTATTCTACTGAGCCATCTCCCCGGCCCCGACCATCTCATTTATAAGCAAGCAAAATCTTTAATTATAAGAAAACAGAAGAGAGGGGGAACACAGGAAAGCAACCTCTACACCGGCTTTGTCACTTATAGCCAGTTAGGGCTTGTATCTAGATGTAACCCCAAAGCCTCAAGCAGTCATAAATGGGGCACTTGGAGGTGGCTGGATCTAGACCATGTGATGCTGGAACTAGGATGTGATACCGGCATTGACCTATGGTGCAATGCTAGAATTAAAGATAACCCATCCCAGGTGAGTGCTAGTGCCCTAAGAGCAGCACCCTGGATAGGACAGAAAGGACAGAAAGAGGGCTACTGTTGTCACTAGCTGAGGCTTGCTGCTTTACTGTCTCCTGCCTGCTTGCCATGAACTGTTTCTCCTCTTTGGTGCCTGCCTGCCGTGCCACCCTACCTTGGAGCCAGCCAACTATGGACTGAAAGCTCTACAAACTGTGAGCTACAATAAACACTTCCTCCTTTAACTTTGGGTGGCAGGTATTTCTTCTCAGCATTAAGAAAAGTAACTATCAATCCCTGGTTCTGCCAAAAAAATAAATAAATAAATAAAATAAATTCTGGGGCCGGGGAGATGGCTCAGTGGAATAAGCGCTTCCCTGGCAAGTGCAAGGGCCTGAGTTCAATCCCTGGTTCTGCCAAAAAAATAAATAAATAAATAAATAAATAAATGAAAAGTAACTAAAATAGCCATCGTTAGTTCATCTTCCTTTTTCTTGTGAAAACAAACCAGGATCTTAGCCCCCTGAGACCAGCATCTGTGTATTCATTCCGTCACTTATAGGGCACGTTTTTTAAAACATGAAATGTGTCTGTCAGAAAAGAGAATTCTTCCAAAGGGACAGCATGATATAAAAATGTGCATCTTTGGCAATGGAAAAAATATATGTAACTCAAAACTCATGAAAGCCCAAGGATTAAGAACGTGAGCTAGGTACGGTGGCCACACTTGTCATCTTAGCATTCTGGGAGACTTAGGCAGGAGGATCACAAGTTCAAGCCCAGACTGGGCAACCCACAAATTTACCATGACCCTCTCTCAAAATAATTAATTTTACGGATCAGCAAGATAACTCAGTGTACTAAGGGCCAGTTTAGGCAAGCGCAGGCACCAGGGTTTGATCCCCAGCACCACGTGCTTCACCAGCCCTTCACCCAGGCCATAAAGCAGGCCACCAGGTCCGAGTGTAGTGGTGTGCAACTCTAATGCCAAAACTGGGGAGGCTGAAAACAGGAGAATTGCTACCAGTCTGAGCTGCATAGTGAGAGCCTGTACCAAACACATTTAAAAAAAATTTTTTTTTCAAGTTAATTTTAAAAAGAGCTAGGGATGTAGCTCAGTACACAAGCTCTAGTTCCAGTCCCTATACTGTACATAAATAAATATAAATAATTGTGAGCTTTGGAAATAGACCTAGATCTTGGATATATAGTTCAGTCTTTCTTTTCAGTTCTGTTGCTTCATCCATAAAATGAAGTCTACGTTAATGTTTACCTTACAGTGCCGTGAGGATTAAATGAAAAAAAAAAAATCTATGAATGCAGTTTCACTCAGAAACCAGCATATGAACTGAGTCTTTACTGTCACTATCAAAGACTAGAAAAACCTAGTTTGCTGCTTCCAGTGCAGACTGGTGTACTCTTTCTGCTCTGCTTGGTTGGATTTTGTTTCTCTTCCTCTATCCTTTAGGTGGATTCTCATGATTGCTTTACTGGTCCTCTCTAGGATTTCCTGGTCACAGCCACTTCCCCAAGAACTGAGTCACTTCAGGCACTGCAATTTGACTGCCAACTCCCAAGGAGGAAGAAGTCTGGGAGAGAAGCGACCACCCAGAGGGGAAGAGAAAGGAGGCTGGGACTGGAGGGACCTCAACAGGATGCCACACCAGCTTTATCACTTTCCCTGGAAGCCTCTTCTGGGAGCTCTGGTCTTTATGTTAAAGCAAGGTCTTTAACAACTTCTTAGAAATGCAAATACCCTTGACTTTGTGAACCACTAACTCCAGAGTGTAAATTGGTTTACCAGTTGCTTTTCTTCTGAGAAAAAGCTGCTAAATTGGTTTGATGAGCAAGGGAGAGGGGAGGAACATGTGAAGAGGAGGACTATTTCTGAGGAAGCCAAGAGCTTGTCATGTCTCATCTGGTCTGGTCTCATCTCGTCTAGTTTCAT